AAAAAAAAAAAATAAAAAATAAAATAAAATAAAATAAAAAATAAAAATAAAGAAAAGTAAAAATCTATTTTTTTTTACTACTTTCAAAATTTTACTATCTATAGCATTAGTGCATTTGTGTTTTCTTTGTCACTAGTAAAAAAAACTAGATTTTTTTAATATTACCTAAAAACTTTTTTAACTAAACGAAACAAAAAAAAAGCGATATATATAGATATACACGAAATTATATACAGTTATTTACTGCAACACAATTCACACCAATTTTCTTCAACAAAAAGATTCTAAGAAATGTCATTTTTTGGTTTTTTCAGATGAACGAGGAGTACTGGTACCGTATACGGCAACTGAAGCTCGACGTGCAGGTAGTGATGGCGATCTTCCATATTCACAGGGAGCACTTATTGGTATTACATTAAACTGTCTATTCCGACTGTTATTATTAACAAATACCAAAAGAAATCGCTGCTATATGGTTGCAAAAATAAAAGGAATAAAAATACTATTATAGCAATAAATGTTAATTCTAGGATATCATCCTGGAATTCCGATACCCTGTCGGTTAATGCCACCACCACGATTTTTGCCTCCGTTTCCTATGATGCGACCTCCAGTGGTTCCAATGCTACCTCCATTTCCTCCACATATGATGCCACCACCGCCACCTCCAATGCATATGATGCCTCCACCACCACCACCAATTGGTATACAGACCAAATATTGTTTAAGAGTGACTTGATTTGCTTTTGCAGTGATATAACAGTTAACTTTAACCTTTGTAACTTTTCACTAATGCTTCATTTTTTACGAAACTTGTTACACATACTCTCTATCTTAGTGCACTATCACTCAGGTCTTCCACCTCGATTCCCTCCTGGTATGTTTCCACCACCACCACCACCGTTGCGAATGATGCCACCGCCACATTTTTTGAGGCCCTATGACCCTATGTCGCCACAGTTAGGACGTCCTAGAACACCAAATGAAGGTCCAATTGTAACTGGACCAGAATCTGTTTACGGTACACTACCACGCGTATCTGCATATGAGGAACCTCTATACATGCAGGGTAACTTGCCATATATGCCTCCGCAGGCAAGTTATCAGCCGAGCAATTATCCACCAGAACAATATGATGCTTATTATGACACCTACAAACGACAACGATCTCCTCCAACTAAAGAAAAAGTAATGAAGAAAAGAATTGACAAAATTTCTGAAATTGCTAAAAGAAAAATAACTTCTTAACAGAACTTCTATAATTTGGCTGCTGAAGTTATTCTATCCTGCGCTAAAGCTATTTACTGTTTGGTTTTTTTTTTCATTTAATTATCATTCATACTGATATGGAGTGTATTACCTGAATCGCTAGCTGTAACTGTAATGTCATTTTATTGTAATGAGGCGATACTTTACAGTCTATCGGCTCACAAACAAGTTCAAAACGAGAAGAGGTGGAACAGGACGAGGCTTCACAATTCTGGGATGCATATGAAACTGGAATTTATAAAAAACCATACCTTAATGAAAAGGTTTCTACCGTTTTTTTTCCTCTTGGAAAGTGGAGTATTTAGTTGGATCATTTAGTCAGTTATTTAAAAAACTAAAGCAAAGATTTTTGAATAAACAACGATATTTTCAGGCATTTTTTGCAACGATTCGATCTTCTTCAGCCGGAGTTAATGAACCGTCTACAACGGCCGAAGTTGAAGTACCCAGACCAGAGACACCTCCGGCTGACTATGAAACCGCTTTTGAGGGAATGCATATTAGCAACAAACAGACTCAACAACGAACTACGGCAGTGATGTATTAAAAATTATAAAGTTCTCTACAAAAATTTCTTATTCTGTACCGTTTGACAACTTTTTTTTTTTTCTTTTATTTTGTCAATCTATGTGATATTTTTGAAATAATTATTTATAACCAATAAAGGTTCTTATTGCTATCATGTTATCTAATCGTTTTCTGTTCTATTCGTTTACTTAGTTTATTTGTCAATTATTGTTATAAAGATATACTAAGTGTTGTTGGTGTTTACTTCCACTTCTTTTTTTTATGTCTTGTTTCAGGTTATTTGACATATGAAATATTTAAGTTTATGCTACATTATTTGTACTTACGCTCTCAAGCCCTCAATGTAGTGTTGTAGTGGCAATCAACAGATTGATGATACTGCGGTGTACATTGAGATCACATAACAATGATTTGTGGTGACTGTTTATATAGGGAAAAAAAAGGCCTAGAATGAAGTTAGAAAGAAGCCCAAAATAGTGTTTTTTGAAGTTCTTTTTTGAAAAGATGCTTGAATTATTGAACAATTAAATATTGTTTAAAAATAGAAAAAAAGACTGTTTTTTTCTTTGTTTAAATATTAATTAATGTATTCTTAAAAATAATAAAAAAACAAAAAAAAAAGAAAGAAAAAAATAACAAAAAAAAAATTACAAAAAAATTTTTGCATATACAAAATCATTTTTTCTTTTTTTTTTTTCTTACATCGTTAATTACTTATCAGTTTAATTACTTACTTACTTACCTACTCGTTTGGTGGTTTAATTAGTTGTTTACCAGCAATGTATCTGAAAGTGTGTGGCTTTGTGTGTGTGTCTGTGTCTGTGAACTCTGTGTCTGAAAGAGTGAGTGTGTTTGTGTGTGCTCAGTGCTTAGCTGTGTGTGTCTGAGTTATTCTGTTGATATATGCTGATTTTTTTTGGTGTTTTCAATTTTATGATAAGAAAAAAAAAGGTATAATTTGTGCCTTTTCTTTTTTTCTGTTCACTCTTTTATCTGTCTGTTTTCTTTATGCACTTTTTTTTATGCATATTAATTCAATTTATTTTTTAAGCATTTTTCTCGATTTTTTTTTTTTTTTTACCTGTAATATGCAGATGTTGCAGGGATTGTTTACAGATATTCTTTTTTCACTTTATTAAATTTAATGGAATATGTTTTTATTTCTTTGTCTTTTTTTTCGCTATAATTGGAATAGTTCTTTTCTTTCGTTTTGTTGACTGTATTGAGTGAGAACTGCTGTATGTTGTCGTTGTTTTAGTGGCTAAAAATTGATGGTCAATATTTCTCTTCTTTTTTTTTCCTACATAATCACCTTCTTTTCTTCTTCATCTTCTTCTTTTTTCTTGTTAACTGTTTATTTCGATATTCAGTTTGAAAAAAAAAAAAAA